ACAATAATATCTATGGGAACCAGCTTGGGATTTGTCCCCAATTTCGTTAGGTGCTTTAAAGATCTCAGGATAAAGTTCCTCTCAAGGAAACCAGGAAAATAACTGATGAGCAATATTGTCAGAAGGATTTTGCATTCATAAACTTAACAATGATTTTACGTAGTACAGAAAGCATTCTAGTCTGTCGCAGAAAAATGATAGTATCTTACTAAAAGTTTCGTGGACGTGTGCGGACCATGAGATATTGTGTTAAAAGCACTTTAAATAGTTCAAGCTGGTGGAAGTCGGTGATCGGTAACCAGAAGAAAAATGTCTTTTAGGACCCGGTATGGTCCACCCGATTGCAATGAAAAATCAAATCCTGATATTTGGAGATAATCAGAATAAGAGATGTGGACCAACTAACGACTCAAGTCCCCTTTAGACTTCATAAGATTCCTTGGTGTATGAAAGTACTACATTATCGGCATGTTTACATCGAAAGAATGTAGAGGGAATGGGAACTTTGCTGAACTAATAAAAAGAGAAACAAGGGGAGAGTGACTGACACCTTGTATTATCCCTGCGGTGACGGTGAGACGCAAAAAATTTACTACGGTACTATGTTACACGAATATAAGAAACAATTTGGCATCCAAATGAGCAGCCAAGACAGCCACCAAAACGGGCGCACGATAGTGCATGGTTAATGGTTGTACAAACTGAACTGAACTGAACTGAACACCTTCTGAAAACATTCATCAAGGTACGTCTACTGAGGCAGCCAAAAGCATTCTTTTGGTTAGGGTAAATTAGACTTTTCAATCAGTGCCGAGGTTATGGAGCGTGCCAAGTGTGCGACGGCATCCAATGTGAAGCATGACTATTTGTACGCACACACAGTTACACTGCTTGCTTTCTGTTGTCTCTTCGTAAAACCATGACCGTAACTATTTCTGTTGCTTATGGTTTATATACATTTCCTATTCGACTCTACCTTCAACCTTCTTGTCTATCTCTTACTGTTTATCCAAATGGGCAACCAAAAGACAGCAAACAAAACCGGCGCACGAAAGTGCATGGTTAATGGTTGTTCAAACTGAAACTAAAACTATATATATATATATATATATATATATATATATATATATATATATATATCTTAGCAGGGAAAATCACTAAATACTCAAAATTATTCATTTAGTACATCATGCAACTCATTCGCATTGGGTACAGATTCAAAGAATAGCCGGCTTACCTTAGTATGCAGCCAGAGACGAACATCAGAAGTGGACGATACGTAACCAACAACGGTGAGCAATGAGATGATGAAATCGAAAACTTGCAGGAAAAAGAATGGTAGCAAATGAGTAGGTTGACGAGCAACGGCACCGTGAACAAGGAAACAGCAAAAAGCCAAAGAAAATGTGGAAAGACAAAGAGCAAAATAGGGTGAGAAATGTCGGCGATGTTTCACTACGGTCGCAGAATCACCCTGACGATAGATGTTCACATGGACTCCGCGTGAGTGGTCGTCAAGTAACCACGCCGTATCCTTCTCCGGATGTTTCTCCTCATTCTCGGCAGTCAATGGGGACGCAGTTATCACACGTTCACCCTTTGATTCTTTGTCATCCTGATAAGACGATGGCAATGCGATTGAGTCCTGCAGGTCAGATACACCAGGTACTAGGTGTAGTATAATAGACAGCACGTGTGAACCTAGAATTAAAAAGAAAACTCGGAAAGTCACGAAATGTTGGCAACCACAATCATTATTGAATGCTATAGCACGCTAGATATATATATACTACGGAAAGCGGGTGCACGATGGTCATCAATACAGATTATCAACATTTGCTCCTTTAGCATGCACGCGCCAGTGAACCTCACTGTTCTTATTTGATTTCACAAATAATCAACATATCTAGGTTCACTTCAGTTAGGTTAAAATATTACCCACTTTGGAATGTTGCAGTCAGGTAGGATGTCTTCGTGTTCCACTAACTCTTCTTCGTCGAATTTAGCGTGAGTCAACCCGGATGATCACCTGCCTCGGCTTGGACAACCTGATAGCATAACGCCTTCAGGCAAATTTTGGAACTTCGCTTCTTTTTACTATGATCATTGTACCTGTGATTTGTTCGGCACACAGTCTGGACTCAGACGTATGAATTATACTATATACTGATTAGCTAACCGCCTATAACCTTCAATCCGCAGTCGGTTTTTCAAGGCCGGGCAGTTGCTTCGTTCTCTTTTTAACCGTTACTATTTTGGTATCCGTTTCGGCAGTTCCCCTTCCCACGTCCTATTTCGTCTCTCTAGCTCGCAAGCAGCCAGCGAACCTTAGCAGGTTTCTATACCCTGCTATCGGGCTCCTGTCCTCCAGTCTTCTTTGTCATGAAGGCAAAAATCTTTCGGGAAAGCGGTCTAGTTATTGTTCCCATTCTGTTGAACGGGTTTGTGTGTGTAACTGAATACACAGAAGTACATAATAATGAGGAATGTTTTATCAATGAATAGTAAACTCGTTTTACCTACCGCTGCAAAACATCAGAGTAGTATTGTGCGCTTCATACACACTACCATGGGAGTTCAAAATGCAAACACAAGTCTCAAAAGCGTAAAAACAACAATAGTTACTTTACCGTGAATCACTATTTACGCCATCGCTTGACAACCGCCTCGCGAATGCATACAGCTCAAAGGGATTTTATATATATATATACATATATATATATATTCTTGTATTTTAATATCTATTTGGTTAGATTAGTATATATTCGTTCCTCTAAGTTTCCTCTCAATCTGTTCAGCTGCTGTCGTCCAGTTGTGCACAATGAAGCCTTTTTCTTCATTCTAATCAACGACTTCTGCGATCGCCTCTCACATCAATTTAATCAAAACACAAATTATCTTACAATGGAACGATGGAACACTGGTTCTTTACCTTCGAGATATTGATAAATAAAGTTGGGGTTAAGGATCCCGAAACATTCGATTTCCGATACAATTACATTTCACCAAATACCTATAACTATGTTCAGAATGGTACATCATACTGGGAAAACCTTGGAAAAACAATTTTTAAAGCCTCCAAATGAAGTGCTCATCCGGTATTCACCTGCAGATAAGAACCGGGGCAAAATTTCGATCAGTTCTGTCAGAAGCTAAAAGTCCTAGCTTAAAATGTTAACTTCAAGGCTGTAATGGCGGGATAAAATCGGGATCACGCAATTCCAGACCTCCTGACAAGTGAGATGCAATCAAACATTGTGCGACAGCCCCGAATTGAAAACACATTTCTAGACCTACCGAACGCCCTAGGATTAGCTGAGTCGTTTGAAATGGGACAACAGTTGAGCGCTTTCCAGACACCAACAATATCGTATACAGCTGCAGCCTCAGGTTCCTCTGAACCAATAGAAAATCACTTTCGCCATAACGAAAACGTCAGTCCGCCTGTGCAAACATCAGCTGCGATCAAAGCACAATGTGATTTCTGTGGAAACGACCGTTATCCCAACGAGACTGTAACTTGACGTGGTATGAAGGTTTGTGCCACTCTCTGACCCAACGAGCTATACGGGATGGCTTTTATCAAGCCAGGAGATCTTATCATACCTGGAAGGTCAATGGGTAGAGATCAGACGATGTTCATTCTCCTGGTCCTCCAGGTTAAGAGTTCGACTCGAGTTAGCGTCTTAGTCGGTATAATGGTAGAGGAGTAATTGATCCAAGTAAATGGGCTTCCATTTCGCTTTACTCGCTGCCTTGCGGTTAAGTTCTTGTTAGAACTAAAGGCTTCGGACGAGAACCCTAATCGTTCTCCTGCTTAGTGGCTGGACACCTTAGCAGTACCAGTCCATCAAACTCAAATGCATACACAATCAAAAAATGATTCCATACTGCATCAGTTGTCGCGCAGGATAATCAGGACCGCGCTGCCCATTGCATCGAGTGGGGTGGGTAGTGATAAGTGGGCCACTGCTCAGATATCCCAACCTTTGATTAACTCTTTGTCTTCCGTTCCCAACCCTCTCCCTTTACCCTTTCTTCCAACCCGTAACATTCCCTCAGACAACTTGATCGTCACACGCCAAAGTTCGTTGCCAAGTAGCTCGGTAAGTAGTTTATCGCAAAATAGACTGCATATTCTGAAGCCTCTTCAGCCACTGAACCCGGGGGTCTTCAACGTGAGGAATCTGATGCAGGTAGGTAAACAAGTATGTCTGGCGCGTACAATGCACTCTTTGGGAATGGATGTCTGCTGCGTGTCGGAGACTCGAATTCAGGATCCCAGTACTATATACCACCCAAGTGCACCGGGGTTGTATTCAAGGTTCTTCCTCCGTACGTCAGGTTATGATGAAGCCCTTTCAGTAGACCAGCGTGGTGTCGGCATTCTACTGAAAAATACAGCCGGAGCGGCAAGACGCAAAAACCTCGTCGATTAGGAGGAATTACTTCAAGTGACACACTAATGCTACAATTTTCAAGATTTTTAAAGAGACTGCAATTAATACGGGGAAAACCTTTGAGTTGATATAAGGCCATCACGACGAGACTGCACCTCGACGTGGTGTGATGATTTGTGTGCCTGCATGCAGCCCAGATGCAGTCAGAGATGAATTTTATCATAACCTACACGACCTCTTGCGTAAAGCGAGTTGGGTTGATATCGTGATTTTAGCCAGAGATATGAATGCTAGAGTAGGTCGGCTGACTTCGAGTGAGGCGCATCTGGGAGGTCCTTTCGGATTAGATTCTTGTAGCTTAGAAAACGGGGAACGACTGTTGACTCTGTTCCGACCATCGCCTGTTCCTCGCCAATACGAAATTCAGGCGCTCCAACTGCCGATACGCCACCGGGCGTCCGCCCTCCTCGAGTCAGAGATGGACGCAGATCGACCACATCGCTAGAAGCTACAAATGGCGGGATTGTATACAAGCCATTGCGCCGTTCGAGAGGCTGAAAATTGATTTAAAAGGTCCGCTTCCGTCAGATTCTCAAAACTGACACTTGTTGACGATCGTGGACGAGTACTCCCGATTCCCGTTAGCTTACGCCTGCTCTGACCTATCAGCAGCTACAGTCAGCCGGTGTCTCACCAATTTATTCTCAGTCTTTGGTATATCTTCCTATATACATTCTGATAGGGATTCGTCCTTCACGTCCGAGGAGCTTAGGAATTTCCTTCACAACAACGGCATTGTCTACAGCAGAACTACAGCCTACAACTTTCGCTCAAACGGACAAGTTGAGACACTATACGGGACCCTTGGGAAGACTATCGTTCTCGCAGCGCAATCGAAGGGTCTACTGTGTACTCAGTGGGAATCCGTTCTTCCGGAAGCTCTCCACTCTATTCGATCACTACTGTGTACAGCCACCAACGCGACCCCACACTAATCACAAATCTGCATCAGGAGTCTCTATACCAACCTGATTGAATACTCCTGGACCTGTCTCAATGCGTCGACCCATTAGATTAACAAAAACCAACCCCCTGGTGGACGAAGTTTTTTCATTACATACTTTTCGTGTGATGAACAGCAGACAGGGAAAGCCCATAGTCACGAGGACCTGCTGTTCAGTGATGGAAACCGGTAACCTAAGTCCCGCGGGACTTGGAGTGGTGAAGCACATAAGGCTCCGATGGATTAGGCGAGGTATTGAACCGGACGACAGCAAGGCTGCCTACCGCCAAAGTTGGGTGGCAGTGGCGAGGCTCGAACCACGAACCACAGGGTCCTGTGGCAGCGACTAAACCACTGCGCCACCACCACCCAATTACTCGAATGTAATCCCAAGTACGCCCATATCTGCTTCCCAAATGGGTGAGAAGATACTGTATTAATACACCACCTGGCTCCCAGAGGTCAAGTCTCTGAGTTACTGACGGCTATGTATCCAGAACCCAATGAACCCTCAATCCCCGAAAGCGATTCTCAACCCCGTCCTCATACAGAGAGTAGCAATTTCGATGAGACAAGCACCACGAACATTTTCCGACCCCTTGTACAAAACACAGATTCACACAATACAGAACCCTAGACACGTCCATCAATAAAAGCACCACAACACACCCACCCCTATAATTTGAAAAACCGGGAAGCATAAAACATTTTTTACATACGAAAATTCCGACCAAAACTATCCGCGGGGGTGAATGTTATGTTGCACTCTTGTTTTTTGTTTCACATTACTTTGTACTCGTCCCTCTAAATTTTCCCCTCATTCCTTTTCAGCCCTTGTCGTCCATCTGTATGTTGAATAACGCCTAGACATTGAGCCTTTGTCCTCTCCCTGTTCAACGGTTGTTACGATCGTCCCTCACATCAGTTAGTTTGAGCCGAGAGCTTATTCATTATTCTCTACCGAAAGGTAATCTTGCGTAACCACTGGGGTTTATGAATACCGATTCATAAGACTTGGATGGGTGAAATTAAATACCGAAAAGGATAGTCGTTCAAACCATCATGACGAGTTTGCACCTTGACGTGGTGCGCACCTCTCTGACCCAACGAGCTATACGGGATGGCTTTTATCAAGCCAGGAGATCTTATCATACCTGGAAGGTCAATG